AGTGGATGATACAGTTGAAGTGGATGATACAGTTGAAGTGGATGATGCAGTTGAGGTGGTTGGGGTTGAAGTGGATGATACAGTTGAAGTGGATGTTGAAGTTGAAGTGGATGATACAGTTGAGGTGGTTGGGGTTGAAGTTGAAGTGGATGATACAGTTGAGTGGTTGGGGTTGAAGTTGAAGTGGATGATACAGTTGAGGTGGTTGGGGTTGAAGTTGAAGTGGATGATACAGTTGAGATGGTTGGGGTTGAAGTTGAAGTGGATGATACAGTTGAGGTGGTTGGGGTTGAAGTTGGCCCATTTGGTGAATCCATTGTGTTGAATGTAGACACAATTATACCTGTGGTCACTGTTTCAGTATTGGTCGTTATGGAGATGGGTGGAGTTGTATTTGGAGGTACAGTTGTTGTTTTAGCCATAGTAGATGCATCCACATTTGTTCCATTTGTCATCTGTTGATCCTGGACAGAATATTGGTTCAGTGTTTGAAACAAAAGTCAGAGTTGTACAAGTATACTAATTGCAGATTGTCAGTGAAGGTCTTTCTGACATTGGACTGCATGAGTGAGCACTAAAGTTAATAATTCCACAGTCCTGAATGTTGATAATAAAACCAGTTTGCATGAAAAATAGATGTTTGAAACTTTTGTTGTTTTTGTGTTTTCTATTGATCAGCACCTCACAACAGTTCTATTCTAGTTTTTCTAGTATAAACTAGCATTTGATCCTTGTCACAGTAAATTAAGGTATCTTCAGAATTCAGAGGTCCTTATTTTGAAGGTTCTTTTCTGAACTTTATACTTAACCAAATGCCTGAGAGTACAGGTTTGACTGGGTATATCTAGTCTCTTCAACTCAAAAATATTTCAGATTTTTCTGTTTTTGAATGAAGTCTGCCATTCAGTCTCACAAAAGTAAAAGACTGAACAACTGAGACCAATGTTTTCCTTATGATTGTTTACTGTACCCCAGTCAAAACACCCCATGGTTTTATGTCTGTATATTCAGGAACTATAAATACTATTTAAAAACAATTCAAAGTATTGTGATCAACCTCTCTTTAGATCTGTAATGAAATAATGAAGAGTAGATACTGTACCTGTGTGTAAGCCTGCAGAGCCACACTAAAGAAGATGAGAACCAATGTCTTCATGATGAAGAAACAAGTGGATTCAGAGATGTTGTCCTGCTGCACAGAAAGCTTACCCTTACCCTGTGTCAAATCTGAAATTTGAGGAGAAAACTATGCACCGTTGCTTATATACTGTCTGAAACAAACAAGTTGAGCAGATTAATAATTCTGTGATTTCAACTTGAATCAAGGAAGTTAGTTCAGTCAGTTATTTATTAGAAACATGCCTGAAGGGCATATTTCTTCATTGACATTCATGGAAACAAAATGAGTAACATTTTTAACCATTCGCACTGATACTTTGATCCAAAATTTGTTATTTTATTTATCCAGACAAATCCCATTGATTAAAGTTGGACTAAAAGAATGGAAACTGATCACATTTTTTAAATTGCACCTCATTTATTTTCTGTTCAGGGTGATGATCATGATGTTTTCTTTTATTAAACCCAAGTTTATAAATTAATTTTTATGTTGTGCTGCTGAAGGATGGGTAGTGTTCCTGCTGGTGAATAATAACCAACCTGAAACCCAAATAGATCACAGGGAAATTCCTTCAGAAAGAGAAACTGCTGGATGAAAGTTCAGATTGGAGTTCCTGACAAGGTGAGAGGAACTAGACATGTCTTCATTCATGAAGAAACATCTACTGATCTTTAAAAACACTCTTGAAGAGACACATTCACTTTTATGGACTTGATCAAACATTTCAAAAATAACCTGAGGGGTTTCAGTTATCCATGAATGAGTTGCTTTGTGATGGATTGAAATCTTGTCCAGATAAAACCATGCCTCTCCCGTCTTGTCTGAAAACAGATGTCATGTATACAGTAAATATGTTGGAGGAAAAAAATCGTATAGGTCTTCTGGACGGGTTCTTCTCTCATGAAACGTTTCGTCTCTCCTCCAAGAGACTTCTTCAGTCTGAGAGTTTCAGGCTAAATTCAGGCTTTTAAGTCCTGCCTCCATGTGACTGATACTCACATCACATGGCTATCGTTGACACCTAATTAACACCTAGTAAAGAGGATGTAGTAAACAGGAAGTAGTAAATAAGAAGAAGTAAACAGGAAGTAG